TTGAACAATAAAGGGTTAAAAGCAATGTAACACTGCTGCATCTTGATCTTGATCCAAATGTAAAGGGCATGGAGATGACGTGAAACAAAAAAAAATATCCACATACCTAGAAAACTGAAAAACAAACCTTACAACGTGAATTAAAATTCATTTCACAGTACTTAGTAGCTATTTAAGTTTACTTGGTCTAGCTCTGGTTGAGGGTGAGAGGCTGTCAGCTTAATTCTCATTATAACAATTACAAACAAAACGCATCCAGCAGCTTAAACACCTTCTGTGTGATTGGGGCTTAATGCATCCATGGGTGTCAACCATGTCACCACAGCTGGTTAGGAAGGGGGCTAAATAAGCCTCCAAATTTAGGCAAAATTTGGGTGTGGAAACAACTGGAATGGCCACTTTCACCGGGGTCCTTTGACCTCTCACCTCAATACGTCTGAATGAAAATGGGTTCTGTGGGTGCCCACAAGTCTCCCTTAAACTAATTTGCTCAGCCTGCTGCCCCCATGACCAAGCTTTGGGTAAGCGGTTGAAAATGGTTTGACGGATGAATGAAACTCAAAATGTTAACTGTACTGTACTTAATTCTCATGTTGACGTAGTGTGGGACTAGCCAATATACTTCAACAGCATAACTGATTTCCTGAAATTAAGTTGTGGCTTCTGGTTTTGCCACTGCAAGATTTTCAGTGACCCCCATCTGGCCCCATCTCCCTATCATAACTTTCTGGAGTATTTTGGCCTGTGATGAACAAAACAAGTTGAATCAGCAGCTTCTGACCTGTGAGCTCCAGCGGGCTGCACAGTGAGCTCTCAGCTGGAGCCAGCAGAGGCAGGCAGGAGTGTTTGGACTCTGAGTCCTCCAGACCCGGCACCAACGGGATGGACGCGTTCTGCACAAACTGCACCAGCAGCTGAGGGGAGAAGAAGAAGAAGAGGAGAGCCACAGCATGATACAGCTCATGTCTTATTTCATGCATTATTCCAAGTCACAACAAAGAGTCCTGTTTCTGCAGTAAACATGGAGCCAAGATTACCTCTGGTTTGGAGTCGAGCTCATCAGAAAGCATGGGTCACCCTGTGTGGAACCTGTAGAATAACAGGATGACACTGGTCCATCAAACGCACCTGCACCTGCTGGATCAAGTCTAAACAATACTCACCTAAAACTGGACCTGCTAAATATGAAGTTCAGTGTCGGTCATAAGCGCAGGGTGCAGGTCATCTCAGTGTCCAAACCATCGCACAATCTGCGGTCAAACAACAGGACAAACCGTCAGAGGACCAGGTGAACGTCTCGGCTCTGCTAGCTAACAGCGAGCAGCTACAAGTTGATAATTTAACACCAATAACCAGCCGAACAGAGCAGCTAACTGTGGCTAAAGCTCGACAGCACCGCGTCAGTCCAAACTGTGCTGGATAAGACAGATGACAGGCTGCCTTGTTAAGTTAGCTAGCAGGGTTAGCAGTTACCAAACTAGCTACCGAGGCTAACAGACAGATGTTAGCTGCCCGGTGTCAGAGCCCGGCGGCTCGCGGCACACCGAGCGTTTATTTAACGTCGTTAAATCTTCAGTAACATTTTAATAAATCATTTACCTTGTTATTGTTGTGTAGCTGAGCTCAAGAGTGAGAGTACTGGGCTTCTTCTTCTTCTTCTTCTTTGATGTTTAATGGTAGCTAGCATCATTAGCGTCGCATTACTGCCATCTGCTGGAGGACTTCTTCTTCTTCTTCGTTTTTTTTTTGGCGGGCTACAAACCAAAGTTAAAGGTGCAGGTTGCCACCTAGTGTTACCAGAGGGTGTGACATCCTGATTTTAAACAACGAAAACTGGCACAAATAAAATAAAAATTAATTAATAAAAGAAAAGAAAAAAGTCAACAAAACTAGCACAAATAAAACAAAAGCTAATCAATAAAATAAAAACAAGTCAACAAAACTAGCGCAAATAAAACAAAAATGTATTGATAAAACTTTTTAAAAATAAGTCTACAAAACTAGCACAAATAAAATAAAAATAATTAATAAAACTTTTTCTAAAAATAAGTCTACAAAACTAGCACAAATAAAATAAAAATAATTAATGAAACTTTTTAAAAATAAGTCTACAAAACTAGCGCAAATAAAATAAAAATAATTAATAAAACTATTTTAAAAGTAAGTCTACAAAACTAGTACAAATAAAAAAAATTAATAAAATAAAAGAAAAAAGTCAACAAAACTAGCACAAATAAAACAAAAGCTAATCAATAAAATAAAAACAAGTCAACAAAACTAGCGCAAATAAAACAAAAATGTATTGATAAAACTTTTTAAAAATAAGTCTACAAAACTAGCACAAATAAAATAAAAATAATTAATAAAACTTTTTCTAAAAATAAGTCTACAAAACTAGCACAAATAAAATAAAAATAATTAATGAAACTTTTTAAAAATAAGTCTACAAAACTAGCGCAAATAAAATAAAAATAATTAATAAAACTATTTTAAAAGTAAGTCTACAAAACTAGTACAAATAAAAAAATTTATGAAATAAAAGAAAAAAGTCAACAAAACTAGCACAAATAAAACAAAAGCTAATCAATAAAATAAAAAAACAAGTCAACAAAACTAGCACAAATAAAACAAAAATGTATTGATAAAAGAAAAGAAAAAAGTCAACAAAACTAGCACAAATAAAACAAAAATGTATTGATGAAACTTTTTAAAAATAAGTCTACAAAACTAGCACAAATAAAATAAAAATAATTAATAAAACTTTAAAAATAAGTCTACAAAACTAGCACAAATAAAATAAAAATAATTAATGAAACTTTTTAAAAATAAGTCTACAAAACTAGCACAAATAAAATAAAAATAATTAATAAAACTTTTTAAAAATAAGTCAACAAAACTAGCACAAATAAAACAAAAATGTATTGATAAAAGAAAAGAAAAAAGTCAACAAAACTAGCACAAATAAAACAAAAGCTAATCAATAAAATAAAAAACAAGTCAACAAAACTAGCACAAATAAAACAAAAATGTATTGATAAAACTTTTTAAAAATAATTCTACAAAACTAGTACAAATAAAAAAAATTAATAAAATAAAAGAAAAAAGTCAACAAAACTAGCACAAATAAAACAAAAGCTAATCAATAAAATAAAAAACAAGTCAACAAAACTAGCACAAATAAAACAAAAATGTATGGATAAAACTTTTTAAAAATAAGTCTACAAAATTAGCACAAATAAAATAAAAATAATTAATTAAACTATTTTAAAAGTAAGTCTACAAAACTAGCACAAATAAAATAAAAATAATTAATAAAACTTTTTAAAAATAACTCTACAAAACTAGCACAAATAAAAACATTAATAAAATAAAAGAAAAAATTCAACAAAACTAGCACAAATAACACAAAAGCTAATAAATAAAATAAAAAAACAAGTCAACAAAACTAGCACAAATAAAACAAAAATTAATAAAATAAAAGAAATAAGTCTACAAAACTAGCTCAGTGTGTACATGTGATGACGGTTTGGACTGATTTTCAGTTGGATCTTGATAAAGAAATGTGTCTTACAGGACATGATTAATTATCAATATTCCACAATCATAGCTTCTCCAGTAGTGAACAATCACACCACCCAGTGGTCAAAACTGTGAACTATAATCTAAAGCCAGATCAACTTCACTCTGGATCAGAAAGTTATGGAGGCATTATTGCTTGTTGGTGAGTTAATAAATAAATGAATAAATAAATATCCATTTCCAAATACCTGAAAAATTAAAGACACTGTAGATTTAAAGTCAGTGACCACAGAAATGTTTTTATCTTTTCATTGCACTGGAACGTTGTCTCCTGATAAGTATGTACGTGTATTCTTATCAATAGGTCTTAAATATATTAATTAATTATTTTGTTTGTTTGATTATTTTCTGTGTTTGAGCAGTGGTGAAAAGAGGCTGTAGCCAATGGGAGGAATTCTCTTCTTCGCTTTTTCTTATAATTTTGAAGCAAAGATGCAACAATTAGTCGATCAGTTGATCAGTCGATTGAAAGAAAATTAAAGAAACTAAAACTATTTTGATAAACCATTGTTTCAGTCATTTTTCAAGCAAAAGCATTTAACGTTTGCTGCTCCAAGCTTCAGAAATGTGAGATTTGCTGTTTTTCTTCATCATGTATGAAGTTATAAATGATCAGCTGAGTTTTGGACTGTTTGTTTGACAGAAGAAGCAACTTGAAAACGTCACGCTGGACTCTGAAAATAATCGTTAGTTGCAGCTCTATTTTTAGTACCTTTATTTGAAACCTTTATTTAAAGGCTGTGCACCCACACAGGTGTCCTCCTGTCTTATTCTGGCTGATTAGACCTCCATACTGAAAAATAATTCTCCTGTCGTCTGTTGTGACATTTTCCTTCATATGACATCTGCAGTGTCCCACCAAAGACCTTAATCTGATATCTCACTGCCAATTATTTAACAAGATCCCCTAATTAAGGCCTATTTGAGGGGAAGTGCACTGAGATCAGACCGTTAATCCTCTGTATGTTAACACATGTACAGAGTAGAGTGTAGAACAAATACTGTGTCTACCACACATACATTTTGACTTGTGGGTATTTATAACAGGCAGATTGAGTTCTAAAAATGTAAAGAATAAACATCCCGATCATTTGACAGCAGAGGAAAAGAGGCATCATAAGCTTTATAATCTCGTGTTTGCAGATCCACACATCATTCAGTGTCTGTGTCGTCCATTTGTACACGAGATGTTTTTAACCACTCACTTTCTCTGTTTGCTGGTGTGATGAGAGGTGTGTGGAAAACTCCAAAAATAATCATCTCAGTCTTCCTTCTTCTCACCTCTATCCAAGATTCAAAACTTGAGGCTCCTCCTCATGTAAACGTCTGATCGGACTTAATAAACTCATCATGCAGTCGCAATAATTCAGCCTAATATAAATGTAAAATGAGGCGTTTAACATCAAACCCGACAGACATTGTTTCTTTGGAATGACATTTATTACACCAGCGATGAGCCTCTAATGTAAATGTACAAAAATAACCCTAAAGCATGTTACAGCAAAACCTCTTCATCATAGTTTACTGTTCTTTGATTGATACTGAAGCATTATTATTTATGACAAGTCCCAAACTGCAAAGCATGAAACAGATGTTTTGGTTAAGTCCCATTACATTTATATTTTTAGAACTGAAAAATGATTGCCAGCGAGCCAGAATACATCCAATCTCGAGCCAGAATACATACAATCCACTGAAGTGTTTCCACCACACTTCCTGTTTCACATAAAAATAACCCCAGTAATTATCTGGGGTGATAATTATTTTGTCCATTTCAAGTGAAACATTTTCATTAAACAATCAAAATCTTTTCACAAACATTTTCAGCATCTTTAAAATGAAATGAGGCCGACATTTAGATAAAAACTCACACACTTTACAGTGTTGTAAAAAGTGTCTGACTGTACAAGCAAAACTAGTCTTTACTCCTCGTCAGTTAACGCCTGGGTTATAAAGTTGAACCTAAAAAAAAACTGCGCTCACATAACATGATGTCACAATGACAGCAATAACAACCATGACACAGCGTGGAGCATATAGAAACACAGACTTATGGTTTGATACAGTTCAGTCCCGTAAACTGAGCCCAGCTTTACAGTGAGCTGATGGCAGCCGCTCTCTAATGAATTCATGTGCTATGGTAACAGCTGATGGCAGCAAAGAAGGAACCCTCCTACAGAAGAAAGTCACGACTGGTGTTGTTGTGCTATTTTCAGCCAAAACTCCACTGACGTTTGATATTTCTGTTCCAGTATCAGGACAAGATCTAATTTCCGCAGATCATCAGATTGTGGACCTTTTAAGGAGCAGTGTGTAGGATTTAGTGGCATCTAGCAACAGCCAGATAAAACCTCTCCCATGTGCCAAGCATTAGCTCCTGGTTAGAATTCCTCCAGTATTCATTGTTAAGGATATTTTTAAGTGGGAGTCAAATTATCCACAGGTGTCTCCTCCTCTCGAAAAGAAACGGATCAGGTGATTAAAACCAGTAAAAACACTTAATAAGGCAGTTTGAGGTTTCACATGAGTGACACCTGCTAATGTGCGCTCACCTTATTTCTCTGATAGCTTAAGATCCAGCTGTTTAGGAGGATTTTAACCTGGAGCCGAATCGTCCGTAAATGTCTCTTCCTCTCCAAAACAAACAGACCGGAGGATTTTAACTGGTGAAAATCTGTTCTTCCACTGCAGTCCAGCTTATCACAGAGGGGCTGCCGACTATGGCGGCTGATACAGAAATGTCAATGCACGCTGCAACATGGCAGACTCTATAGACAAGGACCGGCTCCCCGTGTAGATATAAACGGCAAATTCTATGGTAACAAAAACACAATGACTCTTATTTACCAGTTATTATACACTAAAGAAAGCGTACTTATTAGGGCTGGGCGATATGTCCTGACAATTATATCCCGGTATTTTCAGGCTATATCGCGATACACAATATATATATATCTTGATATTTTTAAACATCCTAAAAGCACTTCATTAATGCTAGAACAGTGACGAAATCAAACATTACAATATTTCAGTATTTCTGACCAAATACCCTCTCTGATACACAAAAAGCATCCTCAGAAAATATTAAAACAATTTGATTTGTGATCAATAATGATCAATAATGTGGATATAACGACTACGTGGGCTAAGGCAAGTGTTAATACACATAAAAAGTCTGGTAAGTTGATAGATTTTCATCACTTTACCGTAATTGAGCCTTTAGTACGAGGAGGAAAACCCCCACAAATGATGCCATATCATGATGATATCCAAAATCTAGGACGATATATATAGTCTTATATCTCGATAACGATATAATATCTTCATACTGCCCAGCTCTAATACTTATTATGTTTTATTCATGTCAATGTATCCCCCTAAATCCTGCACACTGGACCTTTAAGATGGAATAATATTGACATAAATTCTAAGAACATAGTGCGGTTTTTGCATCTGATTGAGAAGGAATTGGTCGACAAAAGTTTGAATGATCACATCAAATATTATTACACAGTTAAAGACACAGAATATGAAAAAACATGCGAAACTGCTCGTAATTAAAATAAAAAATAAGTGTTAGGCATGGCTGTCCTATAGGAATAGTATGTATACACTGGTAGTGTGCTTACGATGCCTCTCAATGCACTTCAAGTAATTTAAAAAGACTCGCAGTCTGCCTCAAAGGTGCTACCATAGCTGCCGAAATTATTTTAGTGCAAATGCAAAATTCTGTGACATACACTGGGTTTGGATATTAAGGCCATAATTTAATTACAAACATACAAAAAGTTCATATCAAGCATCACAAAGCTCCACAACTGTTCCTAATTTGGACAACGCAATTGTTTCTTTAAACTCAGGAGGCCCAAACTTGAGCTGGTCTCCATCACTCCATGGTTGTCTTAGTGGTTCACAAAACGAATATGTCATACAGGCGAAAACAGACAAATCCTCAACAAAAAGTCAGACAATATTGCCACGTTAAATTACATCCGAGTATATAAAAAACACACATGAAACAAATGGCAGAGCTCATACAAAAGTTACTGATAAATATGGTTGCACTATAGGAAGCACCCTCTACAGTGGGATGTTATCAGGAAGCATCTAAATGCCTAAGAGCTTCACTTCTAGCCACTTTGTATTACAGCTGCCATCAACATGATGGGAATGCTAAACTTAAAACAGTCAACGTGCCAAATCTTCCACATCAAGTTTAAAACGCAGCGGGAACTGAAAGACACTTGAGGCATGTTTGTCTATTTAAAGATGCTGACTGGCAGGCGGCCCTGGACAACATTCAACGTCACATGAGATCATTCCTGTACGCCTGTCATCGTAATCGTCGATTTTACACAATTGTAGCTGCTGCGTGAAATAATTTAGATTATGTACACTCTTTGACTGTTAGCTGGATGTCTGGTGAGCAACACGTCAGTATCAGTGGAGCATAGATGAGAGGACTACCATGAATGATGCAAACGACAGAAACGTCAACCTTATTCAGGTAATGTAGTGAAACATTCTGTTTTCACGACGAGTAGTACGCTGATGTTTTTCAGTTTTACATGAGAACACCTTGTCATGCACTGGTAAAGTTTACAGGTCCAGTCTTGGAGTTTTAATCAAGCTCTCTGATTCGGAGCTTGTACTGTGCATTTCAAAAGAGCTTGGTATTCATCCACTGCTTCATGCTTTGGATCCAAATCTCTCAGGGTCTTGATTGCCAATGAGCAGAAGATTTCTGTGCAGCAGAAAGGCAGCTTCAGAGGAAAAGATGTAGTCAGGCTCAGTATGGCACAACAGTGAGTTGTGGCTATGGCCCCGTTCGACTGTAGGTCCCCAACACACCGAGCCGACAGCTGGTGACCAGGCAGCGCTTAGAATGTGTGGCCGACCATCGCGCATGTGTCCTTCACTGATGGCGCCAGTTGACCTTATCTGCGGCTGTCTGGATGATTAAGCTTGTTGATGATTAAGCAATTAGCAAGAGGTATCAGTGACCTTGCAAATCTGTGATTTTGCTGATTTAACGGGGTTTCTTCCAATTTTTCACTTCTGTTCTTTTCCCACAAGCTAAAGACTGAGGGCTGACCTGAATGCTTCAAAGCTTCACTTGGTGTGGTAATAAACGTCTAAATCAGTACTTGCATGCTTTGTTTTGTTTTTTCACCAGTAAGGACAAAGAAAAGGTGACATGAATTGTGAATGTTTATCTGTGTAAAGCACCTGCTTTTCATTTAGTGATGCAGCCCGACCCACAGTGTTCAAGTTATTAATAACTTAAAGAAACACTGCGTGCAATAGTCCACCTTCCACCCTCTCTACCTCTCCCACACACAGCAGCACTATGTCCTTTCAAGGCTGGGTTGGGTTCGGGTGGTTGATTAGCATATATAAATACGCCCCCAGGACCTGTTGCATGATATAGAAGCTTTGAATAGTCACAGGTAATTATAACAGAAGCTTTGAAGGCCCAAAAATGGCATTCAGGACAGCACTACTACAGACTGCTAGCCGACAACGTCAAGGTGCAGCAAAGCAAAGTGTCCACTGAAACTTTTTTAAGGTGGTAAACCCATATTCTCAGTTCACAATCTGAGCACACTGGATTCTGAGCTATATTTACGAGTTCTGTGGCAAAAAAATGGTAATTTAGTTTGTTGGTAAAGATTCTCAGTCATCCAGGTCATGATAATCTTGACTGTTACATCGTAGTTAACTGGACTTGCTTGGCAGAACAGAAGAAGCCTCTTAGATGAGAGGTGCAATGTCCAGTTGCCTAGGATACAGCACTTAAGGTAGTCTAGTCTACTTTGCTTCTCTTTCCATGATGTTCCTGGATTATAAACACAGACTGCTGACTAAAATATGACCTCTCACATAAGCACAAAACGTGTGCACACTGGGAGTCAACTGGCCACCAGCTGCAGTCTTATGAGTTTAAGTGCAGGACGTGAGTGCAACAAAAAGTCTTCATCTGCACTAATTCTTCGAGGTCAGCTTGGTGTGTCAGGGCCCTGAGGCAGCCTGCAGCCAAAATGTAGGCCACAGCTCACTGTGTGAGAGAGTCTGAGGGTGGGTGTGTATTGTGGAGCACATTACTCTCGGTCCATCTGTCTCTATACAGTCCAGCCCCCCCGACCCTGGTCTGCCTTTCCCCATCTCAGTCTAAAGGATTAGTGCCCAGCACTAGACTAGGTCTAATCTGCCTTTAAGCTGGTCTGAGCAGCTCTCTCCCTCTCCTTCTCCCCGTCTTCCTCCTGAAGACTGGCCTGCAGCTTTACAAAGATGCTGGTGTCACCGCTACACAGAGCCTGAAGGAAGAGGTCTGTGTGCTCTTTTAGCCGGTCTAGGTCGCCCTGGGTGCGTCGGTTCAGCCTGTGGAGCTCCTTGGTGCGCAGTGCAATGTCCAGCAGGCCTGATTTGCTCAGGATGTTGTAAGTGTTGCAGAAGCGCTTCCTCTTGGTATCAGCATCACTGTCACTGTGGTTATATTGTTCTAGTGAGCTGTTGTCCTGGATGACCATCCGGGTATCAGGGCCAGTGGTGTGAGTAACAGACAGGGAGGTGGAAAACTCTGCCTGGCTGACAGCTGATGAAGGCCTCTCCCTGGCAGGACTACTGCTGGCCCTGGTTTCTGTTGTGGGCAGAGAGAGTCGGCTCTGGAGCAGAGGGAACGTGGTGCTGGGGGTAGCAGGAAGACTGGGAGTGGTTGAGCCAGAGTTACTGGCACCACCACACAGATTTTTCTGCTGCTTCTCTTTCGGACAGTGTTCCCGGTGGGTGGACATCAAGCTACTACCCTTCTCTGACCCAGAAGAGGAGGAGGTGCTGGAGAAAGACGAGGAACCAGTTCCTCTCCCTGAGGAACTGGAGCTGTCTCCAGGATGTGGAGCGATCTTGGGGTAGGATTTCAGGATTGGAAGATACTTCTTAGGGCGTCTGTGTCTAGATGAGGCTTCTTTGGAGGCGGGTGAAGCTTGACGAGAGACTACAGGCTGAAGGAAGACCACTTGAGGCTGCTGGACAACAGGCTGGACAACAGGCTGGACAACAGGTTGGACAACAGGTTGGACAACAGGTTGGACAACAGGCTGGACAACAGGTTGGACAACAGGCTGAACCACCTCCACTGTAGGACTGAACCCCCAGGGCTTCAGAGCAGGAGGATTATCTGGAGGCTACAAGGGGAACAAAGTCAAAATTGAGCGTTTTGAAAACAGGCAGATCCCACAAGCACTTGCCTGTTTTACATGTTTCTTTTTCATTGTTTGGGACACAATGAAAAATAATTTTAAAAATGTGGGAAAATGTTCTTATTGAATTATTTAAACTGTATTCATCCACCACACAATTCAACACTTCTCTGGTGACGACATGTGCTAAAATCATAAAACACAGAATTCAGAAAAATGAAAACAAATTTCATGGGGGTCCTATTCATTATTTGTACTTGACATACAACTCCTATTATCAGTACTTTTAAGAATTCTAAGACATTTTCTGATGGTTAACTGTCAGTATTATTAGCACCAACGCCCACACACTTTTGTCATGGCCACATAGCAACCCAGTCAGTTGTTATCAGATAACTAATCCTCCTTATATCCGACCACACGTTCAACCTGCGTCAGATCCATTCATGAAACAGCTGTCACAGGACAGTCTCAGGTCATGATCATTATCAGAGACTCCTGTTAAAACGTAGAGTTACATTACATAAATATCACATAAAGCTTAATTTTAATTCCTCTTCACCTCTCAGTGCTTCGCTCAGTCGCTTGCTGACCTTTACGTTCATGCTTTCCACTTCCCGCTCTTGATCTCCGGAGGCACAAAAATAACTTTTGTACTCCGATATCTCTAAATTAATTTCCATGTCTAATAGGGATGTCTGATCACCCCAGTTCATGGGAGGGTCAGATGATGTGTACCAACATAGCTCATTCATTCAGGCAAACTGCACACACAGGTTACACCTAAACTGTGTCTGTAATAATGAGTATAACTAGTACCAATGTTATATACTCAACAATAAATACAGCTTGAACCACACACTGTGGCACTGACAATTCTAACAGAAACCTAAAATTGAGTTGTTTAAACAGAAATAGAAAGCTGCATTGCAGTGATATGGTGGAAATATGGCATCTAATTTATTCATTCATAAATTCATTTTTCTTAACCCCTTATCCCGTTAGGGGTTGCCAGGGGACTGGAGACTTTTCAAGCTGATGTTGAGCGACAGGCAGGGTTCACCCTGGACAGGTCACCAGACTATCACAGGGCTGACACATAGAGACAGACAACCATTCACACTCACATTCACACCTACGGACAATTTAGAGTCAGCAGTTAACCTGCATGTCTTTGTACTGTGGGAGGAAGCTGGAGCATCTGGAGGAAACCCAAATGCAAACGGATTAAAGGCTGATTAACTGATTAAAAGTTAAACTAAACTGGTCTGCTTAGCAAACTGTTTGAAGCCAAAAGTCATAAAAACTTGATTATCCCAAAAGGGAAACATAAATGAAGTAAACATCATTTATGGTTTTCACAGTCTGATCTTTAATTTTTAATGAAATCTGACTTTCATTTTGAGCAAGTCAACTTTACTCTTCCGTCTCTGCTGTTGGTCAGCCAAGTAGTGTTGACCCTTTGTGAATGGTCAGTCTTTTTTTGGCGACTCAATCCAGGCAGCTGTGACTGGACTGTGAAAATCTATTTCAGCTAAATGCAGGCACAACAAAACTGGACCACAGCTTTCCTGTTCAGACCTGCTAGTATCATTGCCTGAGGTTAAAAGGTTGAGAGCTGAGCCTGAGTGGAGGCGGGGAACAAGTCCATCCACACAGATCAAGTTTTAAGCTTCACAGACTTTTAGGGTTGAGGATTTGCTGTGTAGCAGCTGGGTACCTGCTTGAGAAGGACGTTGTTCATGATGATCATGGGGGAGAGGCTGGAGTAGGAGCCTCCCACCACAGCCAGCTGAGAGGTCTGTGGTCCATGTTGTACAACAGGGCGGGGTGAATCCTCCGAGTCTGTGGTGTCCATGGTGCTCATGTGCTCCGAGCTTGCATCTAAAGACCAGGAAGAAGTGTAAGTGCAGTGAAGTGATATCATATTATCTAAGTATGTAAAACTGTGGCAAAAGCAAGGTTGAACCTGAGAACCCAGAGTCTCTCTCTGAGTCAGTGCGGGAGCCTCCAGACTTCATGATGCGTGGTCTGTTTGCTGTCCTTGAGTGAACCTCTGCCTTCCTCTTGGTGCTCATCTCCTTCCTGCTGTACTGACAATATCGTTGGCTCAACAGCAACTACATCAAAAATGACAGAATGTGTAGTTGTATACTTATTTACACTGCTCAGCCAAAACATTACAACCACTGACAGGTGAAGTGAACGACATTGATCATCTTGTGACCTAGCAATGTTCGGTTGGGAAACCTTGAGTCCTGGCATCCATGTGGATGCCACTTGACACACGTCACCCACCCGTTAAAGCATCTGTAGGACCTCATAACACACATGATGACTCCAACGCCCTGGTGCGAGACACCACAGAAGTCCTGTGTCCATGCCTCACCAGATTAGAGCCAAGTCAGGCCTAAGGGATCCCTGACATGGGTCTTGGGTAACTCTGGGATACCTGCACATCCCCTCGATGCTTGATCAGATTGGTGTCTGGAGAATTTGGAGGCCAGGGAATGCCTTGAGCTCTTTGTCATGTTCCTCAGGCCATTTCTGAGCAGTTTTTGTGGTGTGGCACAGCGCACTGTCCTGCCATCTGGGAACACGGTTACCATGAGGAGGTGTACTTGGTCTGCAAAGGTGTTTGGGTGGATGGTGCGTGTCAAGAGGCATCCCGGTAGAGCACTGCATTGTAACAAGATTAGCAATGTCGTTCACTTGGCTGATCGGTGTACAAAATCAACGCAAAAGCTGAAAGGTTCAGTTAGAGCTGGGCAGCATGTCTATATCGTGCCATGGTCATATGTTAGTTATTTCAATATTGTAAAACAACCACCTCTTCCTTCTGACAGGCTGCATTAACGTCACACTTTGTCAGACGTTACTTGACAGTTCTAGGTGAGTGTAATGAACAACGAAAGTCTATCATATTACCTGTTTTGCCATCAATTTTTTCAGTAACAACAACCACACTCCCCTACTTTTTTTATTATCAATACAGCTGAATAAAAACACCAAACATCATAGCTATTATTAGGGATGGGCATCAATTTTCGATTATCAATGATTGATTGTTAAGGCTTTTGATCGATCACAAATAATTCTGATCGATAGTCGCAGTGTTTCCCCTACAATGCCTGGCATAGGTCCGGCGAGCCGCCGTGCCAACGAGACCCCCCGCCCGGCGAGTCGCCGTACCAACGATACCCTTTCGCCCGGCTAGCGCAGCGGCTTGACGGGCCTACAAGACCCCCGCCGGACCTATGCCAGGCAAAAAAAATCAGAAACAGACAGAGGCTCTCATCGCTCTCCAAAGCCTCGGCGGCTTCCCTTGAGGCCTCTGAAAACACTACGCCATTGAAAGACGGAGGTTTTGCTGAAAACTGAAGCCTGTAACCTCTTGCTGGCAACGGTTGTAAACACCCACGGGTGAAATGCGCATGCGCGCCATTCTTCCTCTTTGGTTTGGGGGCTTGAAGCTCAAAACTGGGGCAGCTGCGCTCTCTTGCGGCGACAGTCTGCACTGCACTCTTTTGTTTTCTCTCTTTTGAAATACTCGCTTATCAATTAATCGATAATTGATCGTTAATTTTTTTGATGATCAAATAATGAATTTTGATCGTTTGCCCATCCCTAGCTATTATAAACAAAATATTGTCAAACTGATGATATTGACGTTGAAGGGGAACACCTCCTTAACTTAATTAAGAATTCCAATGTGTTACTTCCATGGCGTAGGAAAGTTTAATCAATATTTGTAAACACAAGGGTAAAAAGTCTGGAGCTCCTCCATAGACAAGGAATACCTGTAATGTTTGAAGATTTATAGTTAAAGATGATGGTCTGACCTATCTGACGTTTCTGCTGTATTTATTTTATGTAATGTGTTGCGTCTTTTATAAACCAAATCTACTGGCATGGCATGGAACAATGTACTGCAGTGGACGGAGGCCACAGCAAAATGTATTTCTGACACCTACAATAATCAATAAGAGCTATGTGAAAGCTATATTTCAATATTTTCTCCGTTTTACCTAACACACTTACTGATCGACACTGTGGTAGACCAACAACTCAGTGTCTTGCTAAGGTTAATTACTGTTTTTGTCAATGGCTTTAGTTCCCTGTTGGAAGGGCCGTGAAAATGTTCTGAATATTGCAAACACTTAAACTGTTATAGATTTTTTTGGTGGGCCTTTTAAAGATGGCTTAAGACTATTGAAGCAGTATTTGCTTAGCGCTGTTTGAGTTTATGTATGTAATGCAAGGATTTTCTGCCAGGGGGTTATTGTAAATAAACATTGTGATTCGGCCTTTACTCAGAACATTCCCCTGAGTGCTCTCACTTGAGTGTGATAACATGGAAATGAATAATCCGTTTATGAGGCTTATCCTGGTCATGATCATATTTGGGATATGGTATTTACGTGAGCACGGAGTAATCAGGTTATTCATCTTCCCTGTGTACATCTCAGTGTCAGAGTACTCAAGCTAGCACATTTGGGTTTATCATGACCAAAATATGATGTTTACATATTCCAACACATAAATGGAAAACTCCAAATACCTGATCATGATCAAGTCATCCATGCCCATGTAAACGCACTCTCATCAATAACATCTTTCCCAATTCACTGTCTATGGAGCAGCTCCAGCCTTGATATTCTATGACAGTGATACTCAACTTGAGGCCTGTGTGGCCTTTTGACAATGAAAATTAACTGATTCACACTGGAATTTCTTGTACTTCTAATATAAATAAGGTGCCAGAGTGTGTACAAAAGCATCAATACAGAGCTTGTTTATATAAAAGTAAAGGGCCAGGGGAGGATCCCTCGAACCCCACAGCAGAGGTCTGGGCTAATTATTTATATATTGATCCTTAATGTTTATTTATTAACTTGTCCCTGGCCTCCTGTCATTTTGCAAAAGTGGCCCCCAGGCAAAGCAGACTAAGTATCCCTGCCATATAACTAGGGCTGCCCCTTGGAAGTTGGAGATTCAAACTGTCAGTCGGAGATCCCTCAGTCGACTGAGAATGCTTCAAGACGAGCAGTTGTTTTTGTGCAGTGTGCTTCTGGGGACATTTTGGTCCCCACATTTTGCTGCGACGTGAGCACTCTTGACTTTCACGCTACTGGTAGAGTCAGCTGCAGACGTGATGCAGCAGCATCGAGGAGGATAAACTTTCCACCGTAAGTCAACGATTTAACATTATCTGCTCTCCCCTGCTGAGTAGGGGTGAATCTGAAGCTCACGGGTACTTCATACGACACAGTCTTTGACTTTTGTTTGATATCTAATGTCGGCAAAAAATGTCGCACATTCCCAATCCATCGTTAGCACAGTTAGCTTGTTTACTATATTACATGGATGAGTCACACTCAGTATGTTTACATGCACAGTTAAGTCCAGCTATGGTTACAGCTCAACTAGGCCATATAATTGGACAACTGACCTTGTCCCAGTATACAAGCAGGGGTCGAGGTATGTCCGACTCCACTTCAATAGGTGGCAATATGCCCCCTTTCAGTTTTTAGTATAGGAGCTTTTTTCGGTTGACCTACTATGTCACAGACCAAACAATAAGCATCATCCAGCTGTTCCGCCACTTTTTGAAAGTGTTTTCCTCCCATCCATATATTTAAAAGTATTGAACTCTTTCAGCCACCACAGCATGAACTGTGTCTCCTCATCTGTCTGAAAATTAGGGCTGCCAATAACGATTATTTTCATTGTCGACTAATCTGTCGATTATTTCTTCGATTAGTCGACTAATCATTTTATCGAAAAATGTGTTAAAATGTTGAAAAATGTCGGTCTGTCTCGCACAAACCCCAAAATTACGTCATCTAATGTCTTGTTTCGTACTCACACCAAAAGGTTTTAGTTCACTGTCTCGGGAGAGTGTGTAAAGCTGCCAATATCTGAACCTAAGAAGCTGCAGTAAGAGTATTTTGGGGTACTTTTATAGTACTTTTCTATGAAAAATGACTCAAACCGATTAGTCGACTACTAAAATAGTCACCAATTATTTTAACGGTCGATTAATCATCGATTAGTCGACTAATTGTGGCAGCCCTACTGAAAATACATGGCTCTAGATGCTGATTTCACCATGTTGTTATGGACTTCTTCTTCTATTATGCATTAAAATGGTATTCGACTTCCAGGTTGAAAACTGTGGAGCATGTGCAGAGCACCTAGGCCAGTTTGGGTCTGACTGACTGTATACATGCAGGAGTAATTTGACTTTCAAATCACATTATCTGGGTGTGTTATCTCGACTTTGAGAGATCCAATTTAGTACGATTTCAGTCAGACTAGCACATTTACATATATTTTAAAAGCCTGGTTGGACTTACACAATAACTCAATTTTCTCTGTCATGTAAACGTAGTGACTGAACGTCCCGCTGAGCGTCTTTATTTTTATTTTTTTAAGATTATTTTTCTGGCTTTTAGCCGTTATTAGATAGAACTGTCCAAGCAGAAGGAGAGAAAGAGGGGTGGCGCACAGCAAGGGGCCGCGGCAGGGACATCACCCCTGTACATGGGACACCCACCTGCTCACAAAGCCATCGGGCGCCCCCCACTGAGCCCATTTAAAATGTGATATTGAAAAAAACAACAACCCCAAAATCATCAAATTTTCGTATTCACAATGGTCAAACTCTCAGTGGGTACAGCCCTACCTATGACGTCACACATTTGAGTTTCAGCACTGTCGCACACTAGTTTGTGCAACTGTGAAAGTGTTGTTTATGTTCACTAATATTTTTGAACTGTCTGAGACCTTAGGTATAACATGTATGAATTTTGAAAACAGGTGAAGTTCCCCTTTAAAACATTAACTTAGCCAACAATGTAAATATACAGTCACTTGCTAACATTAGATTTTGTTAGTATGCGGCTAATGTATGTTAAAAATTACCACAAATCCATTCTGCATGACATTTAGAGGTGACGTTACCTTGTTAACTGGGGCAACATTTGATTTAAGACATCCTAACGTTAGCTAACTAGCTAACACAACTGAACACACAATAAAAGTTAGCTTTTTTTTTTTAGCTAACATTAGCATGCGTTAACGTTACGCGCTAACGGTTAAATGACATGCTAACGTTAGATCGATAGCAGACACGTAGTAGTCACGCAGTTAACGTCACAAAAACACCACAAGACGTTTGAGAAACACAAAAGAATTTGCCTGAGTTACGTTGTCCTCGGTTAAGTCCCACCGACGCTGACTTTAAAGCGGAGGGGAGACGTGCTTGTAGCCGGGTCGAGGTGTCTGCTGTCTCGGAGACTTCAGTACCTCGGTGTGGTCGCTGCTGCTGCTGCCGCCCAGCTACGTTGACTAGAACTCGGTGTTCCACGGTACAATACACGAGACACGCCGCCCCTCCCCTGTCCGCTCCGTCACATGCGGAGCACGGTGGCAAAAACAGCCGTTAACCGTCGCAGTTTAATTGTCTCCCGGTGGCGTCAAAACGGAAAGTGGACTACAGACAGACGGTGGGCTTTCACTCACCTAACGCCAATTGTTCCCGGGCGGCGGAGGACACAAACGACAGGGTATTAGATACAGACACTCTGCCATATTTGGAAGTTCGGGGCGTGGCGCTGTCTGGAGTACCGGCCACGTCACAGCTACACCCGCCCACTTGGTAGATTTCCTGGCTTCTGATTGGCCCGCGCAGCCAGCAGCTGAAAAACGTGACCGCTGCAAATGTGTGGCAAGTTGAGGACATTGTGTTCGCTGTGTGCACAGTTAGGGGGTGTACTGTACAGTGCAGGCATCTCAAATGTACTGTCGGGGAATCCAGTGACGTGAGGCCGGGAGCGTAATGTACTGGTGTGTTACATAACAGGCTGGCTGGCCCACAGCTAACCCAAGCAGAGCAAGTCTTCTCTGCTGCATGTTTAAAGTAAACAAAACACTGCCCATCAGAACAAAACGTTCTCACGTGGATGTATCCTGCTCTTAACCACATTAATATTACTCATACATGCCTGCAAGAAGAAAAAAAATGGAGGATGAGTCTGCAGAGAGAAATGGGACATGGAGAAATAAGCACAGCTTTATAGGCCTGTCACACACTACAAGAGAATGCTCCAGAAAACTGAAAGCAGTACATCACATCTCTTTCTGGCACTCATTTGAAACCTATCAAACAACTCTGATTAAGTCATACTGTTTCATGAATGCTATCTCATCACTTCACAGTTGTCCGGCAAGTCTGATCATCCTGTTGTGTGAAATACCAAATGAGGAAGCTTAGCTGTTGAATCCAGCCACACCTCTATCATCCCACATGTCTGTGAATGCAAAACACATCAGTGTGCTTTGTTATAGATGCGCTTAGGACAGAGAAAGAGCTCTCAGTGTCCCTACATGTTACACAGACTAATGGTCCAATGATGCAAATGTAGATGACACAGAGGTTCCTTTTATTTGGACTGCATTTTATTGAATGAATGTTTACGTCCCGTAATAAGTAAATAACAATCTAAAGAAAGTCACATACATGATGTTTCAGTTTTATAACAGTTATAACAGGAGAAACTCTGCAAAAGTTACAATGAAAATAAAGTTATGAAGGTTTCTGGCCTCTGTGAGAATGTTGCTGTTGATCTGACAGGTAATCATGTTCTCCCAGTGTCAGCGTGGGTTTCCTCCAGGTGCTCCAGCTTCCTCCCACAGTCCAAAGACATGCAGGTTAATTGGTGACTCTAAATTGTCCGTAGGTGTGAATGTGAGTGTGAATGGTTGTCTGTCTCTGTGTGTCAGCCCTGTGATAGTCTGGTGACCTGTCCAGGGTGTAGCCCACATGTCGCCCAATTACAGCTGGGATAGGCTTCACCCCCCTTGTGACTTCATGTAGGAACTATTTTCTTTCTACCAAACTACACTCAGCAACTGTAGCAACACCCAGAAGGAAGAGTGTATCTTCTACTAGTAGGGTTGGGTACCATTCACATTTGAACCTATAGCGGCACTGGTGCTGGCACCTCAAATTGCACTAGTGCCAAATGATACCTTTTTTGGTACTTTACTCATATGCTTTCCAGCTTCAGGGCATTTTGCAGTGCTTCCGCCTCCTGTCTGAACCTGTTGTTATCGCCTAGGTGCACTCCTAGGTACCGAAATCTGGCATCGATAGCTTTAACATTAATCAGTGCCCGGGTGATTAGGTTGGCACCCTTAAAAGTACAGAGTTCAGTACCCTACCCAAACTGCTAGCTCACCTAGCACCACTGAGCTAGCTAACATTACGTCTCAGCCAAGGAGGACACCATTATGGTTATATCTCACACTGTCATGAGCACGAGCCCCTCGTCCATGAGTAGATGCACATTTCCTTCTGCACAGTGATACAGTTGGTGGGTGAAGCTCAGTGGAAAGAAAATAGTTCCTACATGAAACTATTCACAACAAGGTCTGTGGATTATCTTGAAAAACCAGGTCATGATTTCTGGAAAGAGACATTGATGTTGAGTTTTTACAGTATATATTTTTTTGGCACTTTGAACAAACCAAGTGTCATCTAGTTCCATTATATTGGAGAGAAGGCAGACATCTCTCTTCTCCAACACTTGACAACTCAAACCAAAACAATCCAGATTGATAAACAGCACTACAGGTAAGAAGAAAATTTGTATTTTGGGGGGTGAACTGTCCCTTTAATCATTTCCCCTGGCAACAGATATGCTTACTGCATCCTACCAGTTATCTTTAGACCTATTCTGAATCTGTCGTCTATTTTTAAAACCTCCCACAAAAGCAGCTAACCTTTTAAAACTAAAACTGCTGCTGATTTTGTTCTGTTAAAAACAGCAGTTAGAGCTGGAGGAGTTTGCAGATAGGATTGTTTGCTTTGAGAATTTATCAAAAAATAAAACAATGTCACGGCCAAGATGGAACGTCTGACGGACGCACTGGATGAGGACAGAAATATAAACAGAGGATGAATGAGAGATGATCGATTCACAGATGAGCTCCACTCTGAAGTTACTCCTCCACATTAAAGAATGGACAGATGAGACTCAGTGAAGATCGATCTTGTTTTGAGGGAACTGGCACCTGAAAAGACAAAAACACACGATTAAAGACACTCACATTTTGGTATGTCTACAAAATACATCTGTGTTCATCTTTTCAACCAACATTATCTGACTTCACCAAATCTCATTTGAATCTCAAATCTTCCGACTGAGCTCTGAGGCAGCAGAACATTTGGTTTTAATTATATTCATGAGCTATTTCCCATTTTGCCGGCGTCATTACTGGATTTGCTTCTCCATTAACAAAATTATGGCTACATGCACCAAATTGTGAGAATTGGTTATTGAATATCATTATTTGCTCTCAGTGTGAAATCGTGCTGAGGGGATATTGTTCAAATGCACTGTTAAATTAGATCAAAGCATTATAGAAACAATCAGAAGTACCTGTTTGCATGTGTTATAGCTGTTACGTAGCATCTCTGAGCAGAAAGCACAAAACCTTGGTTTCCATAATAATCTGCTTTTTAAGCAGAGATGGGTTACAGGAATCTGGACTGAGTCACCATTTCTAAAGTCATGTGGTTGAATATGACTTCTTTTTTTAATCTTTATACCAATGTTTTAGGTTGAATATTATCTTTAATGTAGTGAGTTTAACTGCTCTTTTCACTAAGAAAACAGCTTCCAGACCATTTACATTCTCAAATATTTCCACATTGCAAGTGCACTCAGGTTAGGAGACCTGCTAATGTACTAAAATGTCATCCCAGAACTAGAAATCACCCACGTGATCATTTTGATGCTTGCATGGATGGGTTACAGAACAGACCTACAGGGCCCATGAGGTCATTGGTCCTTTAAAGATGGGGTAGGCAATTTTGTTTTGCTGTCATTGTGCAACAATCCCATAATAAACTTTGTGCATATTGTAATTTAAGTGATCTAAGAGAACACTAGACTTCTGCACCTCCTCTTGGCTCTGTTTTCAGGTTTTCAAAAATCTAGGCCATGATGGAAGACTTCACAATCACAGGTAATTTCTACAAATGCGGATGTGTGCATGTCCCTTCAGATGGCGAAAGTCTGATTCAATGGTGGAGAATCCTGCAGAAAAAGTTGCTATTCCAGTATTGGCAACAGCTGCCCACACTGCATAGACTGGTCTATCAAAGAGAGAGTCTAAAAGAGAGTCTGGCAATAAACTAAATAAAACATGTGTCAGTATCTGCAAAGTCTTTCAGAGTTGGAGAGAAAATGAAGCTAATAGTTTAGCCTTCGGGGAACCAGGGCCAAACGGCCACAGCTGCAGCTTCAAACCTCATATTTATGTAGCTAAAGTTTGCTAGAGCCTTGAATCCCAGTAAATTCTCTGCCTCACTTCACGACGCTACAGACCACTTCGCCTTGAGGAGAGCAGCGGCAGCTCCGGCAACAGACCCCTACCCAGCGGCTGCAGCAAGTCAAACTCAGCCAATGCTGGAAGATGGACCGCTCAGACTCCCCAGCTCTGTTACTGAGGCTACAGAGGTTCGACCGGGAGCTACTGTACCAGTCTGTTGTTACCGGCTCACCCCTTTTCTCCTTCGTGGACGGTGGCCTTGTGGGTAACCTGTGAGGGTGTGACGTGTGCTTCAGTGTGTGTGGAGGGAAGCAGCTCTCTCAGGGTGTCATGTTTAAGATGGCAGGTGGCAAAGAGTGATGATAGTCAGCACAATTAAGTGTCTAGATAAGCTCAGGAGCACGGTTACCTCATGAGAAGGCCATGTTTGTTATATTGGGGTGAAGACTGCAATAAGGCTATTGTTGTGAACGGCACCTGAACGCCAGCGTGTTCCCAAGTACGGTTCAGTAAGCTGTCACTGAAAGAGGTAACACTGCTGTGACCACTTAATATGAGTTACTACAGCTGCCAACCAGAGGAGAATCAGTTGGGGAGAGAGGGGGAGGGACCACAGGGTGTGGTCGCTGGGTAATTCTTGTATCATTTGTGGTCTGCTAAACAGGGAGGGAGCTTTAAATTGAAGTAGGATTAAATAAATCAATGTATGGGAAACACTGGGTTACTGTATGAAGCATGCATATGCCCATTGACTTCTAATGGAAGTGGCTTAGGACAGAAAAGGGAGAGCTGCAGGAGGAGGGTGTATTTTCAGTTCTCTTTTTTGTCCTTTCCCAAAAACTGTCCAAAGACAGATTCTCTGTGTAAAGTGACATTACTAATTGCGGGGTGAAAAGGCAAAATGTCTTTCTGAACCAAAGCATGTGCTTCAACATTCACTCTGAGGTCATCACAAGAATGAAACCATCATGAAACCATCAAAGGGAATGTTTATCCCCTTAGGTTTTACATAGGAAGTTTCACTCCAGTTCAGCTTAGGTTAAGTACTGGTATTATTGAATTTGGATCTCTGAATCTGCTGGAAAAAAAAATTCAAAACTCTACAGCTGTGTGGTCCCTTGACCACTAAAGATGGGGTAGAGGAGTTCTGGATAATGGACCTCTGGTTCTAAGCTGTAGTTTACAACAGAATAGCAGCCAAGAAAAGTCATGGTGCAGAATTAGCATCGCACATAATCAGACAACAGCCAGAACAAGATGGTCACGACACAGTTGATAAAATGCTCATTGTGGCAAATCCTACAGACCACCACTAAACATAACCCTACCTCACAATGACTCTAAGTCCATTGTGTGGCTTTTATTTGAGCTGACTCAGAGAACAGCCTCCTCTCCAGCTCTGTTTAGGCTGCTGGATAAGACGTCCCCCTCACTCTCTGTCTTACCAGAGCCGACAGAGAAAGCTTACAGTCATTGCTTCAAACAGCTGACCTAGTTTTTACCAGAGTGAGCACCTACTTCAAATCACCCATTGTTCCTTGTTCCCCAAGAGGGAAGAAGTTTATGTGCTTCAGTGACTGAGCCAGTAGTGACGCTGCTAATGCTCAAAGGATACGTTCATGTGTATTCAAGTCTGTCTTTAAACAATACTCACATGCCCATATGTACATCAAAAGACTTGGTTGTCGAATAAGGCATATAGTGGAGCTCAAACTCAAACTGCTAACACACAGTTGAGACTCCTGCAATACAACTGGTTAATGAGGGTGTACATCACAACAGAAAAACTCACAACCCAAAATTCAAGACTCGTGTAACAGATGTGGTGTGGAGAGGGACATTTTTCCATTGTATTTGGAGCTGCCCAAGACTTCTAGAATTTTGGACAGGTGTTCGGCAGATAGTGCACAAGATTTTGTCAATTCAGTTGACTGGATATCCTAAATTCTTTGTTCTTGCCATTCATGCAAAGGGACATTGAATAAAACGCAGTGACCTAATTTTTATAGACGTGTGCCTTCTACAAGCAAAAAGATCTGTAGCGTTAACATGGAAAAGCACCCAGAGACCAAGCATGTGGCACTGGCTTAAGGAAATGTCTTTTCAACACGAATGGTTTCAGTGTATCTGGGGCCCATTTATAAAACATCTTAGGGGCAAGGATTTATCTTGTATGCTGGATGTAGCAGGGGAAGTATAATTACAACCTCTGCAATAAAACTCACTCAGACTTGATGTATACAAAGTAAATGTAATATAAAGTATGTGATGAAGTACTTGTGACGGTGTCTGTCGTATAGTGCCCCCACTGTAAAAAAAATTGTTGGTATAATGTTGAAAATTTAATAAACAGATTGTTGAAGAAAAAAAGACTTGATTGCCACTGGCTGTGAAGAGATTCCTCTGTCATGTGTTTCCAGTGTAAGTAATGGGGAACAATATCTTCAGTCCTTACTTTGTGCAAAAAGGCATTCTAGAGACAAATAAAACAGATATCTTCCAAAGCTATGACCTTAGTAGTGCGACATTGTCTCTGTGTGTTTCTACATACAGACAGCGTTCCCTTGCTGTGTCAACATTTTACCCCAGTTAGGTAGGTGGGCCTATATACCAATACAGCCATATATTGTTAACTTGTACTGCTTGTCAGACATTCCCGCCACCAAATAGTGACATATGCAAACAGAGCAGACCGACACATACAAGTACTTCACAAAATATCAAGGCCTGCCACTTTTGGGGGATAGAAAAAACAAGAAAAGACGTCAATGCAATTTGACGTGTGTTTGGGTTATAGTTTTGATATATCTCTTTGCATGTTTGTACTTCTGGACCTCAGCTCTGCGTTTGACACAATAGACCATCAAATCCTCATTAATAGGTTGCATAATTTCGTTGGCATATCAGGCATTGCATTAGACTGGTTTACTCCATATCTCTCTGACAGGAGTTTCTCTGTCTCTATCAGCGACTTTGTATCTGATTCCTCTACACTGTCCTGTGGTGTCCCGCAGGGCTCGGTTCTTGGGCCTCTGTTATTCTCTCTATAATAAACAGATATAACATTGCATATCATTTATATGCAGATGATATCCAGCTCCACTTCTCATTCAGACCTAGTGAGCCTCTCAGGTGATCTAGGCTCCTTGACTGCCCTAATGCAATTAGGGTCTGGACCACTGAAATTTTTTTTTCCTTGAGCTGGAAGGCGAAGCTTTCAATTTAATGGTCCATCTACGTCCCAACCCTCACCTATGGTCATGAGCTCTAGGTAGTGACAGAAAGAATGAGATTGCGGATACAAGAAATGAGTTTCGGCTGCTTGTTGTAGCAGTGAGGAGCTCGGACATCCAGAGGGAGCTCGGAGTAGAGCCGCTGCTCCTTTGCGTTTAAAAGGGGTCAGTTAAGATGATTCTGCATCTGATCAGGCTCCTCCTGGACACCTCCTGTCAGAGGTGTTCTGGGCACGTCCCACTGGTAGGAGGCCCTGGGGCAGACCCAGAACATGCTGTAGGGATTACATACCTCATCTGGCCTGGGAACGCCTTGGGGTCCTCCAGGAGGAGCTGGAAAGCGTTGCTGGGGGGGAGGGACGTCTGGGGTGCTTTGCTCAGTCTGCTGCCCCTGCGACCTGGCCCCGGATAAGTGGATGAAAATGGATGGATGGATCCTGTTTGGGGTCGCGGGGGTGCTGGAATCTATCCCAGCTGACACTGGGATAGATTCAGGGTACGCCCTGGACAGGTCACCAGACTATCACAGGACTGACACATAGAGACAGACAACCATTCACGCTCACATTCACACCTACGGGCAATTTTAGGGTAACCAATGAACCTAACCTCCTCCCAAACTTTGTGTTAAATCCAAAGCATTTGCAGGCCTGGACAATAGTTTTTCAAATTTCCTAACTTTTCCAGGAATTTCATGACTATGTGAACCCCATGAAAGGACTATAGCCCAATATACCCAACTGATTTGTCTAACCCAGACTACTATCATCTCAGATTTCAGCCTCTTGTTAGCTCCAGCAGAACTTTAAAATGCCACTTTGCACAAAAAAAACATTGTGTATTTTGTTCCCCACAACACAGATCGGAAATTCTATGAAGAAAGGATCTTTTCAGGGCCAGCGTGAACAGGATCAATGATTGTAGCGCAAACAGTTTAAGTGTACACATGGACATGAGTGTTGTCTTAAGATAGAATTGGAAAAATGTGAACCTGTCAGTGATTTAGTATTGTACTTCTGTAAAGTTCAGGGACTTGTGAAAGAGAGGTTAAAGAAAGAATGTTAAAAATTGATTTTCAGTCTCCTGTGTGGATCAATCTCCTAAAGCACCGTATCCTTAAACTCCTATAGAGGCTTTCATGAGATCTGTGGAGAGGCCCCTTTAACAGAACCACTTTGTAACACTCTACAAACCCGGTCGCAGCATTACAATCATTGCTTGTGGCAATGTCTTCATTGTGCACTAATTCAACATTGGTTACAATCTCCCTTGTCAAATAAAAGAAGGAAATAAGAGGGGGAGAGGCACAGAGAGACGACCTGTGACGCATGCTGCCCTTTTAAACTTTATGTGAAACGAGTGAGCACACAGACAAACAAAATACCAAACTCACTGCACATAAAACTCCAAGATGTGACTGTAAAATGATGGTATGATATTGTTCTAGAACTGAATCGCTTCGGCTTTAAAGTTCACTGGATTCTACCTAAAAAGGCATTTTCACTTGCGCATGAGGAAGATTTGGCTGCTTTTTGGATTTATTCCTTCATCAATTCTCATCCTGACTGCTGCCGACAACAATCTGACAGAAAATGAATGAACAAATTGGGGAGCTGAAGAGGTTAACTGCTATATCGAGTCCCATCACCTATTTCCACAGATCTCCTTCCTGTCTCTTCTTTTCTTTTGTCTGGTATTTCTCTTGTTATTTTTCCTGATATGTGAACTGGTGATTTTTCAATTCAACCTTTACACTGGCAGACCTTGGTTGGAACTATCAGCAGCCTTGGATTATTGAGCTACACATGCTCTGTGGCCTTTAGGCCTGCCAAGGAGAGGAGCAACGCAGCAGACAATATATTGTGATATTGTTTAATCTCATCTGTCCTTGGTACTCTGACAGTGTGGAGGAAACAGAGATAAATGCAGCTGTAAATGTCCAAACATTATGATACAGTGCGTGTGTGTCACAGGAGGGCAATCCATCTCTTACTTGCCACAGCCGTTTGCTGTCTTCTTGTGTTTTCTCCTGCGAGGTCTGTTCTTGATAGACTCGCTGCTGCTGTGGAGGAAGAGCAAAGTGCAGTGAGGATATTGATGTTTTCAGGTCCGATAGATAAAACATTCATCCACTGACCTTTTATTATTCAGGAGTTTCTGACGGGGTCTGAAAACAGAGAAAACAGCACAAACAACTGGCTGTTAGCTGTGCTATAAATATCTAAATTTGCATCTGGTGTTTGCAATAAAGAATCACCTGCATTCACATCTCTGATGCTCCACGAATGTCAGTTCCATGTGGTGCATAGATAACATGGGGTGAAGCCTCATCACCTGAGAGACAAAGGACAGGGAAAACTGAAGTTAGGGCCATGTCTTTAAAGGGCAGGTGGGCTATTTCTCAATGTGGATCCTATTTTCCCATGTGTCTGTTTCTTAGTGACTAATGGGAACAATAATAATCTGAAACTGGTCCAGTATTCAGTGAGAGGGCTGCGAAACAGGCTGCAATGTTCCCACTCGGGGCATTTGTTCACCATCAATTTACTTCCCATAAAGGTGCTCATCTCCAACAGGCTCCGCCCTCTCCTGGACTCTATGGATAACACTCGCTCAGTTGCGCTGTTCTGCAGCGTTGTAAAAACCTGGTGGTTCTCACCAATGCAACTAGATAAGATGGTGTATCATCTCTATAAATGAACATGATGTCTGTGGTCATTTTGAGTTAGCATTTTACCACTCCTGTTTCCCTCGTCTCAAAGTATATGACTTTTTGGTTAGATGCCTGGTCAGACCCGGATAAGCAGAGGACGACGAGTACGAGCCTGAAATAAAGTCTTTGGTTAACACAAGTCTAAGACTTTCACTATTGTTCTGTGACATAAAACACGTCAGTAAATACCCCACTTGTAAACTTTGAAGTTTCTGTATGTGGGTGGCTGCTAACAAGTGGCTGAGTAACACTAAAGAATGTCATCACGGGTGGGGACGTTAGGTCATGCAACCATGGTGTGGTTCATTTATAGCCTAGGGAACCAGTGAGATGCTAACTTCCGCATCGGCTTCAGCCACTAGCCATAGGAAGGCATCAGCATCCTTTTATTTCTTCAGCGACGGCGACTGCCCACTATCTTTCAATCTGTGCAAGGTTAGGCCATCACTCCCCCATGAGGTGTTCCTTAATTAGGCTCCACCCACTGTACCCATGGAGTCCAGTAGAGGGCAGAGCCTCTGTGAGAACAAAGGTTACAGTACTGTAACCCTAGATCTTTTAGCTCAAGTGAAGCCATCTACTAAGGGGCCCTGTGGCTCCAAATGGCTCATTTATTAACTGTGGGCTCTGCACATAAACATACAGTACATCCACCCTGCTCTGCGCTAAGAGAGGCAACAGAGGGAGCATGTCTCTCTGCTGTGATGACAAACCCACCCACTCACGGTGCATCCTGGACAACTTGTGAAAACAAGCTCTGACTTGTTAAAATGAATTGAACGTCGGTCAAACTCGCTTCACAGTATGGAAAAGGGAGGTGGCAGATACAGCCACTGCAAACTACGCCCCTGCTCGAGGTATCTTTCTGTTGTACATTTGACCTGACGATATTACCCACCTCTACCCACACCTGTAAGGTGGCAGGTGCTAATTTGAGACTGTCTGTAGGGATGTTTTCCATTATGCTGCCACTGTCAGACACTTAAAATAACAATCCATGCTTGTCAGTGACAAATACCTGCCCTTTCAGTGGACATAAATTTGCAGTGCACAATTGCTCATTAATATGACATCGCAGCCTGTCTGCCCTCTCACTCAATACTGGACCAATTTCTAAAATTGTTGTCTCCATGAGTCACTCAGACACAAAACATCAGGTTGAAAAATACCTCAGCTTCCCTTTAAACTGAACAGCACATTTTAAAATCTCTCTTTAGGTACTTCTGATGAATCATGCCTGATTAGAAATCTTGCTGCACCTGCAGGGTGATGTTGCGTTCGAGCGTAGCCTGGCACTCCAGGTTCTCGTCCCCACAGCAACCAGAGCAGCGCCAAAGTGGGACACAAGCAGGCATGTAGATGAACTCCACTTCTCCAGGGTACTCCTGCTCCACATCCACCAACTGCTCCATGGGCCGACACAGGCTCTTTGCCCACACCTCCTGGAACGCCATCACTACAAGACAAGTTGAATCTTCAGTATTTAGGTCATTTAAGAGAGAGGTGGAAATTATTGGTGAGTGGGACTGCAATTACCTTTTGAGTGACTTCCCTCTGGAGGGTGTGAGATCTGGAAAATACAAAAAAAAGATTCGGAAAATTTTACATGTTCAGTGATCAACCTTTTAATTTGATCCGATGAAAGTATCAACGTCAACACAAAGCTTGGTTGTAATGATGCAGAACCTGCAGACAATCAGGACCGGAGCTAAACATGAGTGTGATATACATGGTTTCAGCAGCAGTGGGCTCATTGTGCAGATTCAGAGCACCCTCATGTGGCAGAGCAAAAGCAGTGCACCCACAATGGTCCAGTGAAAACAATGATGCAGCATGGTTTCAGGAGTGTACCACTGTGCTGCTGTTTAAGCAGTAACACGAGCCATTCAACCAACAACAAAAACACTTGATTTCTCAATCTGATGTAACACCAGAAGGTTTATTATCACAAGAAGCAGAAACCTTCCAAGAATGCAAAGAATAACAGCAAAGAATAGCTGCTGCCTCCACTTGTGGTTGTTTTCACACACAATAAACACAGTTAAAACAAAGGCAGTACTGAAAAGTATCATGACACAGCGTGAATTGCTTGAACTTCTCACATCCCAGCCTCCAAACTCACAGTGACAATGTTCCTGATTTCTGAACGCCAAATCGAGCAGGAACGCAAGCGCAGAGTTGACTTTGGCTCTCTCCTTCTTTTCAGTATCAACAATCTTCTTTCTGACTCCTCACCTCTCCTGCTCTCCTCTCACATTGTGTCAACATGGATGGGAACATTGTCCTCTGAACGTCACGCGCAGGGAACGCTGTAAATCTCGGACAACATAAGGTTTAATTGTGGGATTTTTATGTTCGCTGGAAGGGCGTGCCAAAGAGTTTGTGCTGCTTCATCCAACCAAAAAACCAGATGCATCACAGCAGCTGTAATTAGTATAAAACATACACACACATGCATAAACATTACAGTGTGATTGAAGTGGCTTCATGTTGGATGTGATGAGCTAACAACTAAAACTGCTGGCCTGCTAAAAAAGGAAAAATTTGGAAAAGTATTACAGATGGAAAACTTATGTTCTTCTCTCTTCTTTCATTTTTCTTTTCTTCCTTTTAATTTTATAACTTTCACAAAGCTGCCAAGCACATACACGACGGTCATTATCATACTTAAGACATTTGCAAAGTTGCATTTGGGACACTTTTTGGAAACAACAACCAGTTAGGACACAGTTGCTTTCATTTTGCCAGTTATTAATGTGGTGGTCATTTTGAATTTTTAAAAAGGCAACTTAAAAACTCTCAATATCTCAAATTCTTTATGTGTATGTCGTGATTCTTAAAGACAAATCCACATTTTCATCATTTTAATTCGTGCTCACGCAAAGGTGTAGGTTGCGTTTATATATCAGGGGTCCTCTGCCGGAAAAATTTTGAACATCTAACATGTAATTTTCTGCATTCTGATGATTTTTTCCCAGTATATTTATTGACTTTTCTTCTTTTTACAAACAACAATATCTAACAGCTCTGCACATCACTGGTCTGCACAGCGTAGGTGCAGTGTCTCTAGTTAATCAAGCAAAATGCTAACAAGTGTTGAAGCCACAGTGTAGTCTGAGAAATGGAGGTATGGACTCCATATACAGGTCAGGTATTTGTGATGAAAACCTGACGTTTCTTTATTTCTATGCACCACTTTGTGCCTTCTCTGCATCAGTTTATGGTGGAAGTATCTTTAATTTTCTCAAAACAAAAGTCCTCTGCAATTTTGTTTTTACTGGAGGGGATAAATGCACATGTTCTCAATCTTGACGGGGACAAGTCCCCTGTGTCTCCCTCAAAATCTGCACCTGTGTTTTGTAATAATTTTGGAAACTACACAGAACTAGTAGTTAGGACACAGATGTGATTTTCCCAGTCATTAATGTGGTGGTCATTTTGTATTTTTAAAACTATAAACTCTCAATTCTATAAGTGATTTCCTGATTCTTGAAGCTAAATCCACATTTTCTTCATATCAGTTAGTGCTTGTGTGTGGCAACTGCAGCCAGAGGTACAGATAAAGATGTGGCTGCATCCATATTTCTGTGTTAGGAGTTCAAGCTATAAGATCTTGTCTTTAAAAACTGCTTTAATGCTTGTATTTGTTACAAGCCCTCACTCATCTCTGTACATATTTTTCCAGGGCTGGTCGGCCATCTTTGACCTTTCATACGCTCAGTAGTCATTTATAAAGATATACTGGGTAAACTCCCTTCGTACATTTGTACTTTGATTGAGCAGAGATGTGACTGTAGCTACAGTCTGAGGTCTCAAGAATTAGTTTTGCTGTCTGTTCCTGGTGCTCCGACTGAGCTGGGAAAGCAAGTTTGTATGTGCTCTGCTCCTCTCACTTAGAATAACCTTCATGAACTGGTCTCTGCCTGATTTTAAAGCTCTCATAAGTACGAGGATGAATGAGTCGGTTGGGTCTTGTCTTTTTGCGTAGGAGTTCTAATATTTCTCATGTTACTGTGCATCTTTTGTTTTTCATGGTTGTTTGGCTGTAACTTTTTGTGTGCTGCTGTCTCGGCCAGGTCTCCCCTGTGAACGAGATCACTGATCTCAACAGGACGTACCTGGTTAAAGATGGGTTAAAGAAAATAAAAAATATCCCTGACATTGTGCTCTACATGCAGGTCATCCATGTTATCTTAAAAACCACGGATGGGTTTTTCTCACATTAATTTAGGGCTGTGAGATGCGCAAGAAAAAGTCATAGTGCAATTATTTTGACAGATTAATGATTTGAATTTTTGCATTTTTTTTTCACTGAAAGAAATAAATACAAATAATTATGTGATTTTGTATTCCTCCAATCAAAAATATGCCAGAGTGCTCAGTTAGTCTCCCAACAACTTGTTGCAACCGTCCCCGAGCTAAGCAGCCAAATTAAAACTGACCACACAGCAGGATCTTCCAGCAGGCACAAGCCACTGTGATTACATAAAAGAATTTTGCGCAGTTCAACTAACTGTAAGTTACATAATTATTGCAGTTAACGTAATGACCTCATTATTGTAAAGGTCCATTAGTAAACAGTATGGTGAGGAAGAGGGTTACTGACAGAAGGGTTCCCATAGAAACAAAACTCAAAATATCACTAAGTAAATAAATAATACTATGGGCCAATATTATTGCATGAATACATGATATATTGTTGTACAACAATGCATATCTGTGACACCGAGGGTCAGTACGCCAAGGTCCCCGCCCCTGCCTGCCACCTGGGATACAATGCACCCAACCCCAATGCCAGTCCCTGCAAGTCCCTGGTGTCTTTTCCCTAATGTGCCATTTCATCTAGGTCCTCTTTAACCGCTCTTCTCTGGCCCCTCTCCTGGGACCACTTTGCCTTAGGAGATCCTACCAGGGGTTATCAGCCTTGGACAACACATCTCCCAGGATCACAGGGACATGCACACCCTGGTGATTCTTGGAGGAGTGCCTCCCGTTAGAGGTGTTACGGGCACGTCCAACTGGAGGGAGGCCCTGTGGCAGACCCAGAACCTACTGGAGGGCTTCTATATCTTGTCTGGCTTGGGAATGCCTCGGAGTCCCCCAGGAGGAGCTGGGAAGTGTTGCTGAGGAGAGGGACATCTGGAACAGTTTGCTCAGCGTGCTGCCCCGTGACCTGGCTTTGGATATGCGGTTGGAAATGGATGGATGGACAATGGATATTCAGCATATACTATGCTTACTCAGACAAAAAGTTTCAAATATTTAGAATGTATTTTTAACATGTTGCAGCTGTCCCCATCTGACTTTTTCTATTCAAATAATTATTGTGAACGACATGTCATATGTGATCATGTTTAAATGCTATGCGTAATTAGCAGACAGATGCATGCTTAATATCTAAAAGTTTGGTCAGTCCAGTCCAAATAGTCTCTGAGTAACTGTGTTACAACCGTCCCCCGTCTCCCCTACCAAACAAGCATGCTCTTGAAATGTCTGGAATATGATTCATAGGCTGGGGCAGCTCTGTAGCACCACCATACTTCATTTATAATAACATGCTGTGACACATTTTACCTTCATCAAAAACTTGCAGCTCCTGTGATTTGGATCTCGCATTTGGCCATATTGCAAGTTCGATATTTTGATGAACTGCGCACTGCGTGGTCCTAAGTTTTCCTCTCATGATCTGTTTCTGTGTCACTTTAAATATCAGTAAAACACAAAATAACTTTGTAGAGGGATGAACTTCAGATAATAAGGAAAATACATGTCACAGTATTTTAGGGGTGACTCTAAACTTTAAATCTGGCAAACACATCTGTAGGGTTGCAACAATATGAGATTTTCATTGTACGATAACTGTCTCAGAAAATATCGCAGTTTCATGGTATCACAGTATGTATATAATTATCAATCAGAATGACCCTTAAAGGAATTAAAACTGAGGGGTTTTATTACTATAATTGAAACTTGAAACCATTGTGTTAATGGAAGTGTGTGTAAAAAGTCTCCCCTTTAGAAAATAACTCAAATTAAGGAGACTCTCATTCCAGTTGCATTTTTTTTTCAATATTGTAGATATGTAAATGTACACAGTACAATAATCATCAACTTTGATATCACAGCATACTTTAAAACTGGGATTGCTGCAACTCTGCCCATCTCACATCCTGTGAGAAGCTTTCTGGGCTGCAGCTGCATTAAAACAATTCAATCCACACTCCATATGAGAGCAACCTTTATAGATTTTAGCCTGCAACTCAGTTTTACTCTGTAATGGTTGATATGTCATGCCTGTGGGTTGGTGCAAAACCAGAAAGAGATGTAGAGGATTACACTCTCAGGACCTGGAGCTGCAGGGTCTCCACATCATGTCAGCAGCTGAGCTCTGCTGCCTGGTTGTTTTCACAGTGCTGCTCTCAGATATCTGAACACCTCCATAATCTCAACCTGGATCAGTAACATGCAGCAGCTGCATCTCAGGCTCCTATCTGAGCACATGGCTGTAAACAGTCCCCACAATACTGATGATATCTTCATGTTTGGGCACTAAAACACAGTGTGTGGAGCAGATGTGTCTCACTGGAAAAGAAAGTGCCATTTAAATGTGACTACTGTTTAATTTGAGGTGTTAATTGGAGTCACATTTGGAGTCAAGAGAAAAAAGTCTTACCTGCAACCTGTGAAATATCACTGGATGAATTGAATTTAAAACTAAATGACACTTTCATAATGATAAATATTTCACTAATTAATGGCACAACCTCTCCCAAAACTCCTTAACATCCCAGTTTCATATCTTAACAAGAAAAAGCAGTTTATGTTCTGCAGTTGTCTGAATTACCTGTGCAGGTACGAGCTGCAGCAGAAGGACCGAGAAGAGGTGACACACTCCGATGAAACTTTGCATCATAGCGCCAAAGACCAGGTCCCGTTACCTCCCCTCGTCTCCGGCCGGTCAGGAACAACTGGACAAGTCAAAATAGGAGCTTCCTCGTGAGGCGGCCAGGGTGCTTTTTGATTGGCGCGCCGTCCCGCTGTGCGCGAGCTGGGGATGGAGAGCGCGCGCCAAACCCTTGAATAAATACAGCTGATTATCAAGAGAGGAAAGAGAGGCTGGGATAGGTCTGTCTGTCTCTGTCACACACACACACACACACACACACACACACACACACACACACACACAGCTTTTGTTTGGTATGCATTTTTACTCTCTCCTAGCTATTTGGGATCAGTAGGACCCGATAAGTATAAAAAACTAAACACTGTCAATCATAATTAAGTCCCAATGTCCTCAAACAAGTACTTCCTAATTGCTTCCTGTTGCTAAAATTGGTCAAATTTGTTGCCATATCAAACTACTAACATTATTTATCATAAATAAACAACTTGCAAGCATAAAATTCGATCAGGTTTTGTCCACTTTTGTGTCAGGATCGGCTGCAGACTGACTTGGACTGACTTTTTACATTGATTAGCGTATTGTGCTCTCACTACCACTAGATGGCACAAAGAATGTCCATAAATGAGGACATCAGGTTAAAACAGAACAAAGTACCAAAATGGTACATCACCCAAAATGTGATGCTGTCATATGAGGACACTCTGTGCAGCACATCAGTCCCACACTCTGTATTGGAACTATGTTAAACTGCATCATCCCTATCAAATAAAAATGTATGAATATACCAATGCTTTGGAGCAGCTACTGCAAAGGCTTCTTCTATTCTAGAATTGAAGAAGCTTCCTGGATGAGAGGTGAAACTCTAGCAAATCCAGTTGCCTATGATAAAGCACTTACAACCAACCATACCTATGTTATTCACCACAATGAACATGTAGTTTGCAAACCATGCTGCTGTATTTAGAAAATCCCACTTTATTTATACGAGCAGGCACTCACTGGTTTTCATTCATGTCAATATAAAATGGAAATCTATAAAGTAAAGTAGTCTAAAGTCTTGGGCGATCACTTACGGTGAACTATAGCCACACAACTAAAATGTAACAATGAGAAAATGAGTACACACCTGATGTTCACTGTCCTGTGAATTCTGCTAATTGATTTCCATGAGTGTTGCTTTTAAGTGGAATGTCTCCAGCTTAGGTGATACAAGATGTTCAGCTGTAATGAAGAATTAGGTGAAGAGCAAGTTGCAGTTTACATCCATGTTTGTCAAGACTCATATGACAGTGGATAATACTTCAAATATGGATGTTGCTTCACACACATCTTCAACCCGGCAGCACAGCAGATCTACACCAGGGGTAGGCAACCTGTGGCCCCAGAGCCACATGTGCTTCTTCAGCCCCTCTCCAGTGGCTTTTTTAAGTATTTACATTTACATTTATCAGTGTTGTAGGCCTAAAGAAATTCTTATGTTCTCCAATTGTAAAAACATGAAGCCTAAATACAGAATGAAAAAATTGTTTTAACATTTTAAGAACTAAAATGTGCGTAATACATCTACAACCTGGCACCTTTTCCTCTAAATTTTGCCGAACCTCGATTGCAGAAGCTCGTCTTGAGTCTTCCTGGCTAGTTAGTTATGGATGACAAATCCAAAAAAGTAACAGTCTCAGAATAAAATAGAGAATTTAGTAGTACATGGACATATTTGTTCACTTTCACTGCCAGCTCTGCAAAGTTAAATTAATAACCATGGATGGTGCCCTCCCTGCAGAGTCGCCACCTTGTGGTAAAACATATGAATGAAAGCTCATTTAGATTATTAGCACAGATTAATTTTGACTTTATATGCTGTGTTACCTTCATTAAGGCTCAAATATATTTTGCAGCTACACACTGATTCTTTTAATTATTATTTTTGTTTTGGTCAAAAATGGCTCTTTTGATATTAAAGGTTGCTGACTGCTGATCTACACAATCAATTCAGAATCTGACCAAATGTCCCCTTCTGTTCCTGAGTTATGATGCTAAATAATTACCAGAAAACTGTTTTTGCCGAACATTATGATGTCATAGTGATGTTGACCTTTTGGATACTAAATGTCATCGCTTAATCATTTCATCCCTATCAGACATTTGTGTGAAATCTTCTCAGAATTAGAGCATGAATTCTTGAGTTTGGCCAAAAGCATTTTTATGATGTCACCTTGACCTTCACCTTTGACCTTCGACCACCAGAACTAATCAGTTCATTGTTTTCAGTCCAACTAGACATTTGTGCCAAATTTGAAGAAATTCCCTCGAGGAGTTCTTGACATATCACGTTCATGAGAATGGGACTGACAGTCGAAAACATTCAAAAGCACTGTCACAAAGCTGAAAACATTTCTCATGACTCATGAGAAGCTGAAAAGTTTGGAGATAAATGGCAGCGACGTGTTTACAGAAATGAATTGAAAAGCAATGATTGCAAGGAACGATACAAAACATGATGAAAAACATGTTAAATACAAGTTAAAACCCACGACACAGACACCGTCCTTTTAAATCCTCTCGTTCTTTTGTCCTGTCCTGTTTATAATAATAATGAACCACTGCGTGCTGGGCATGCACTGGGGTGGTTAGCAGTCGCGTGTGAAGCAGTCGGGATAAGAGTCAGCACCTCCAAAACTGAGGCCGTTGTTCTCTGCTGGAAACCGGTGGATTGCCTGCTCTGGGTTTGGAGAGAGTTACTGCCTCAAGCGAGGGAGTTCAAGTATCTCAGGGTCTTGTTCATGAGTGAGGGTAGAATGGAGCATGAGATGGTTTGGTTTGGCTTCTGCAGTGATGCAGGTGCTGCGCCGGACCATTGTGGTGAAGAGGGAGGTGAGCTGGAAGGTCAAGCTTTCGATTTACTGGTCCATCTACATCCCAACCCTCAGCTATGGTCATGAGCTCTGGGTAGTGACCGAAAGAATGAGATTGCGGATACAAGAAATGAGTTTCGGCCGCTTGTTGTAGCAGTGAGGAGCTCAGACATCCAGAAGGAGCTCAGAGTAGAGCCACTGCTTCTTTGCATTGAAAGGGGTCAGTTGAGGTGGTTCTGGCATCCAGTCAGAATCCTCCTGGACGCCTCCTGTTAGAGGTGTTCCAGGCACGTCCCACTGGTAGGAGGCCCCGGGGCAGAGCCAGAACATGCTGTAGGGATTACATATCTCATCTGGCCTGGGAACACCTTGGGGTCCCTCGAGAGGAGCTGGAAAGTGTTGCTAGGGAGAGGGTCATCTGGGGCACTTTGCTCAGCCTGCTGCCCCACGACCTGGCCCCAGATAAGTGGATGAATGGATGGATGGATGGATCCTGTTGGGGTCGCAAAGGGCTGGAGCCTATCCCAGCTGACACTGGGCAAGAGGTTCACCAGACTATCACAGGGCTGACACATAGAGACAAACAACCATTCACGCTCACTTTCACACCTACGGACAATTTAGAGTCACCAATTAACCTGCATGTCTTTGGACTGTGGGAGGAAGCAGGAGCACCTGGAGGAAACCCACACTGACATGGGGAGAACATGCAAACTCTGCAGAGAAGGGCTCCCCCACCCTGGGTTCGAATCCAGGAACCCTCTTGCTAAGCACAATGACAAGACCCAACAACTCACTCAACCTTGTACTAATCAGATCTTTAAAATCAGGCAGAGACCAATTCACATAGTTTCAACTCTCTTTGAAGGTTATTCAAGTGAGAGGAGCAGAGCATGTGAAAGCTTTCTTTCCCAGCTCAGTCTGAGCACCAGGAATAGACGACAAAACTAAGTCTTGAGATCTCAGACTGTAGCTACAGTCAGGCATCTGTTCGATCAAAGAACAAATGTACGAGGGGAGTTCACCCAGTATGGCTTTATAAATGAACAAACACCAGTGACTGCGCCTACAAAAGGTCAAAGATGGCCGACCAGCCCTGGAATAAAGCATTCAGTGATGAGTGAGGGCTTTACAATTTGTAATCTGTGATCTGTTCCTGGTTTAAAAGTACTGGCTCTTCTGCATCGTTTATACCCCATTAGAGTGTTGCATGTTTAGTCTTGGCACAAGCGCAGCAGACCTGAGGTTATCAACACCGATGCTGCAAGAATGAGAAGAATGTCTCAGGGCTAAACCCCCCTTCATTCCTGATTTAGGCATGTTTATGCACAATCGTGTGTTCGCTACAGATAACATATGTGTTATCATCAGTTTATGTCTGGTATGAGTGCTGTAAACAACTGCTATATGATTGTAGCTTTCCTGTTACACAGTACTCTGCTTCTTGTCCTGTGTGTCTTTCAGTCACAATTAATGCTGATGCCTGATTATGTTCACTTCTTCAACAGGTTGAGCGATAGCAGCCCTATCACAACTCTTGTGTGCTCATTCTGCAGGGCGTGAATGACGATGATAGAGGCGCCTCTACATTTATTAGGAGGGCTCAGGTGCCATGATTTACAGGATAATTGGGCTGGCCTCTGTGGAGGAGATAACCAAGATGGATGATGCCTCTCTGCTCACCACACTCACCTCTCACTCCTCACAGGCTGTGATGGTGGACCGGATCCATGTTTGTGTCACCTTTAATGTACAGTTTGAGTATTCTGCAGTATTTCTGGCGTTATAGAAAAAAAGAAAAGGCTAAATTGAGTTCAAGGAGAGTTTGGGCACCCAAATCTATCAGAACGAACTCTTAATCTGGCGCAGATTACAAATAGCGTGTCAGGATTTCATCTAAAACCCGCCGTGAACACTGAGAGAACAGCCTGACAGATTTGGCCGTGTGAACTCTTTTCAACTTCCTTGTCTTCCAGTGAACGGCTCGCTAGTGCTCCTTACAAGCTGGGCCCGGCTCACCCACTTTCCGGGGGTTTCCCATCCCGGCGTGCACTCCCAGTCTGATAGCCAGGGGTCAGACAGACAGACAGCTGCTGCTTCCTGTCTCTGGGAACCACACCAACACTCCAGTCCCAGTCTCCCATCAAGGGAGGATGGGGTTTCCCTCAGCTGGAGCAGAGGCAGCAGGTGGGACGATGCAGCTCTGTGTCCC